CTGTGTGAAAAACTATGCCTAATCAATTCGTATGATTTTATTTTCAAAATGAATATTCTCCGGTCGATCTGCCTTAACTTGAAGCTTTGCGAGTTTGAAATTTTTTTTTGTTAGGGGTATTTTACATGAAGTTCTTGGGACATTTTCAAAATTTTCACAAAAAGATGTCATATTTTTTCTTTAAACTTCTTGTTATAATAAAGTGAAATACACGTATACATAGGTTCGATTTTCACTGTTAAATGAATTTCCGGAAATTAAGGAAGTTTGATTTTCTAGGCGGTCTTACTACAACTAGAATATTGAATATAGTGATTTTTTGTCTAAGTGAAACTTGTTCTCCACAATTCTTTTTTAATTAATGGCGTGTAAATTGTTTTGAAAATTTTAGTAGTTTTTTCGCAATTTTGAATGAAATATGGGCAGGTTAAAAACATTAAAAAGATTTCTTTAAAAATATGCCTAATTTTTGTCTTAAAACTTTTTGTACTGATAGTGCAAAGTGCATTAATGAAGGAAACGTCATTTCGCTGTACTCTTTTGTTTTTAAAAAATTACACAAATGTAATTTTTTAGGTGTCACTCACTTCGTTAATATTTACTTTAACGCGATTTGTATAGATTATTGCATTTAAGGGTACAGGTGCTTCAAATGAGACCTTACAAAGTTTTCCGAAAACTCAAAACCTTTTCTGTAAAAAATGAGTAAGCATTTTCAGAAACGCCTAATCATCATTTTCTCGCACAGCTCCAAAGTTTTTCTTAAACCCTTTTGTGCTGATATTTCTTAATGCACGGTAACATAAACGCCAACGTGTTGCATTATTTTGTTTTTTCAAACTAGTGGTTCTAAAACAGCACATACTTTCTCGCCTGTAGTAATGGTTACGTAATACGATTTATACTACAAATTATCTCTGAATTACATCTCAGTCGTAATTTTTTGTGAAACTCATTACAAATCGTATAACATTAGGTGCGAAAACTAAATATTTTCAAAGAAATATCGACACATATTCGTCAGTTATAACTGCGTTTCATCAGCAAAATCATGTCCCAACAATAAGACAGAATCCTCAGAACTACCAATGTCGTCTCACAGGGCGGCACTATCGCATTCAAATATTATATTTCCCGGAGGCTAGCATTTTTTCATTTAAATATTACATTTAAATATTATTTTTAAGAAAGAAAACGTAATTTGGCTAATTTCAATGAAGGTATGCGGATTTCTTGGCAGAAAAACATCAATACATTGAAAATGCAAATACATTCCTCGCAACACGGACAAAAAATATGGATTATCAAATAGGTTTTAATTTTTTTCTAAATCGTATAACAAAAGCTTGAAGGTAAGAAAACGAACAAAAAAGTATGAAGTAATATACAAATTCTAACTTACGTAGCATCCAACTGCTTCCAAGCACTTCTCAAATGACGTTCACAAAGCGCGGGAAATGCAAGGCGCGCGACTACGACCCCAAATTACTCAAAAATACTTACATTTACGAAAAATTGATCGTATCTTATTTGAAGTTCTGTTTTTGATGAACACATATCATTTACACAAATTTTATTTTCACAATTGTAATTGTATGATTTTTTTGTTGCAATTTTTCAAAAATCAGAAATTTCAACGAAAATGAGACCTACACCATTCTCTTAAACGTTCTATACGATATCCAAGATCAAAAAACTAATAAAAATATGTGTCTTTTTTGTAGAAAACTTGTTTAAACGAAATTAAAATTGCCTACATTTCACGCAAAATTGTGAGAAAAAATATTCAAAATTTCGAAAAATTGTCCATGACCTTATTTCAAAATCTGTATTTAAGAAACAGATTTCTTTAAGAAAATTATCAATCTTTAATATTTTAATTGTAGGACGACGCCAAAAAAATTTGAACATTTGCAATTTTCGAAAAATCAGGGATTTCAACGAACACGAGACCTGCACATTTCTGTTAAACATCTATTATGCTATTCAACAACACAAATCAATCAAAAAATTTGGAGCCATATGTTTTGAAAATGTCCAAGGGGCTCTATGTAAAGTATCCCCTAAATTAAAATATCGAATTCAAATTGAAAGGGGCCGCGACCAATTCGATTGGGCAATGTCAATTTTGGAGAAAATTGGCTGAACGGTTTAGCCGCTAGCGTTGTATACAGACGGACGGGAAAACAGATATTTTGCCGTCAATCGATTTTTAGGTATCAAGGGCACACAAAACGTGGATTCTGGCTACACCATGTGTTATAGGATTCTTTTTCTAAATGTAGAACTGTATTTATCCACTTTTCGTTACCAGGGAGCGGTAATATGAGTTTTTCTGTCGAAAATTCGCTTTTCCCCCTGCATTACATGACTTTCTCTCTACTGCGTAAGCGGTAGCAAGAAAGAAAATTACAACAAAGATTTTAATTAAAAAAAAAAATGTTTCTCAAGTCGTGAACATTTACATTCCGGGCATATCGTACACATTATTGCATTTTTTAGTTAAATTGGTTCAAATAATTTATTTTGAAGTTTTTCAAAATATCAAAAGTTGTTGGTGAAAATGAGTTTTAATATGCGCTCTCGCAGAAACACTCAAACAACGTTTTCTTAAAAGTAGCCTCAAATTTTTAAATGAAAATGTGCTTACAGAGTCAGATTTTACCCTTCCTTTAACATTCTTAAAGTCATATTTCAATTTTGCTGTAAGGGATTGGAAAAATTGAAAAGACATGAAAAAATATGTTTTAGCCATAAATAGAAGGCAGCTGAGAAGAGGGTAGGGCAAAACTGAAAAGATTGCCCAGACTGAAGAAATAAGGGAACTAACTAGTACAAGAAAGTCGAAAGTCATTCTGTAGCTTCACTAGTTTTAAAATGACTTAACAGTTCTTAGAAAAACTTGAATGCAGTTCCTGCAATTTTATTTGTAAAATATTAGATTGACACATATTATCTGTTATAACACACTATCACAGTCTTGTATTGGACACACATTATAACACACTATCACAGACTTGCATATCTTTTTTCTTTTTATATGATGAGTTAATATAATTCCATAGAACACTGTTTCTCAAACATTCAATAAGCACTACAAACAGATTGGTACTGTGTTTATTATTCTTATTTCCAACAGGTATGTTCTGAATACCCAATTTAGAAAATCGTTCACAAGAAGATGATTTTGCGAGTGTACAAAAAAATATTATAATTTACATTATTTTCATGAAGTCCAGCCATCCTAGCAAATTGGAAAGTTTTGATTTGAGATTATTGTGGCGTGTGTACAAAATCAGCTAGAAGAATTGATGAATCAGGAATAAAGAAGTTTTGAGGAGGGTTGGGAAAGGGAGAAGAACAATGAAGAAGGCAACCAGAAGACCAATTCGATTAGATGTGTCAAGGAGACACAGGGCAGATGAAGAGGGGGCACAGTACAGAATGATGAACATTCAGAATGCTGACTTGAGGGAGAGCCCTCTTTAATGATTAATTATATGATGATTCATTTTACTTCAAAATAAAAGAATAAGAGTCATGATCATTGTTGTGTTATAGCTCTTAAATTTGTAGGCAAACCCAAAGCCTTTCATGGAATTACCTGTGAAAATGAAGATCCATTTTGGGACTTATTACACAATAATATATTTCATATTAATTAGAGTGACTATTTCACTTGTATCTGCCCATGTCATAAGTAACCATTGCTAAGCAAGAATATATTCTAATTCAACCAATCTCAGATGTCTATTGCCATATAATAATTTTTCATGAAGAAATACTCCCACTCTAAAACCTAATTTTCAAATTCAATTTGAAGATGTTTTCTGCATGCAACTAATATTTTACTTTTAAATGCTACACTGTTCGCTTAACTGGAAAGACAAAAGTCTCTTTTTTAATATTTATGATGATAAGAAGCCTTTTCAGAGGCTTATTATGTTAACTCAGTACTCACCTTCAATATAATAATAGAAAAAATACATTAGTTGCATTGTTAATTTATTATTCATATCTCTACCTTCTCCAAGACTTTTGATGCACAATTTGGGTCAAATGTAATAAATTATATTTCTGTGTCAAAATGACACACGTTTGTCCTTGTAGATATAATATTTAAAATTATAATGAATGAACTGTTCACACAATTTTACATGACTAGTTTTAATTGAGGTTTAAATTATAAATAATGTCAAGATGTGTGGCATTTGATAAAAATGTCATCATATTGCATGTTATCATTAAAAACAAAAATTTTGATATATGCTGTTCTTGTAGTTACACAGCCTTACTTGTAGAAGTAATGAGGAGGTTATAAGTATAGATATTCTTGTAAGACATACAAAGTGGCTTAATGCTTTTGGTTAAAAGTACTCCAATAACAACTGACAGAAAGTGTAAATTTGAGACTGGCTTCTTGGAATTATTTTTTTTTTTGACTCTTCTTGACACCTCTTTATTTATGGGGGGAAAAATCTCAAAGTGGATAAGTCATTTATTAAGTCCAGGAAATTATATCATAAGTCTAAGACTTGTTGTGTGGTAATATTTTAAAAACACTAGAAAAGTATATTTGTCCCTAAAGATATTTTTAGGTGTATTATTTTGGCATTATGGAGTTCAAATAAAAGTTATTACTCTTAAAAATTCTAATTTTTTAGTAGGACTAAATGCATTCAAACAAATGCATTAGTGCAAAACATTGATTTTGCAAAATTTTGAAATATTTTGCACTAATACAAATTTCAGTTTTGTGCAAAATGTTATTTATCTCACATTGAATTTTTGTTAATGAGTTAAAAAGTAAATCTAATTCTTGATAATCATCTGATTAGTTATGTTAGTTACTCAAATATTACAAAAATTAATCATCACAAAACTGAATTAAAAATCTTACTTGGAGTGCTGAGCACGCCCAAACGCATTCTTCTAGGAGCTCCAAGTGAACCAAGATTCACGCCAAAGTTTAATTTCAAACATATTGAACTGTTGAAAGACCTAATTTCATCAAGAATTTGTTTATACGATTTGCCCAAACGAACCCTTTCATTCAGAAATGAAGTAATATCAATACCACATTTACTGAGAACAACATTCCTACATGCGTTCACTATATCCTTTGTTAACTTGCCCTCACTAAATATTTGGGTCAGTTTTGGATCAAATTCATCATGATGAAGAATATTTCCACATAATTCTGTCATAACTTTTATGGCATTAACATCATTTTCAAAGATGACATCACAGCAGGCTGTAACAAATTGTAATAAAGATTTAATTTTAATTTAACAGAAATTAATCTCATTGAATTTTTGTTTGCAAAAATCAGTAATCTTTTGTCCTTGGAGGTGATAACGTCGATAAATATCTGTGGCTTTAAAATAAGTTTTTTGAACGAACTTATTAGTCCAGGGGTAACTGTCCGTTCCGTCATACACAGCTGTTTGACGTGTTGCCTACACACAACTAACAGGGGAAGTTCAGAGATAAAACTAGGGCAGTAGGAAATTAAACCTGAAATAATTTGCGCAACAATGTTTCTTGTAAAATTTGCCTAGTACTCTGTCGACATCCGTCCACGGTATAATTGTTAATATACATTTTTTGCAAAATATGAATTTCGTATTTTTATCATCCGAGTACAGAAGGGGTGGTTTTAAATATTTACAGAGCGAACTCTACTTCGACGCACATCCTGTGACAAAAATAGTAAAGTGACGCAATGCAAAGTATTTTATTCTACACTACGTATCTTCGCATAAGTTTCGCATTTTGTGTACATTAACTTAGATTTTTAATTAAAAAATATTTACCTTGTGAGTCACTAGACGAACGAGGAGGATTGACAGAAGCTTGAAGCATAGGATAAAATAACTTGGGCCATAATACTGCAAAGCATCCCACAACAATGGCTAGAATGAGAACTGTTTTAGCAGTTCCAAATTCAACTGCCATTTTCGAGCGTTTCGCGTCGTAAATTATCAGAGAAATATTCGATTAAAATCGTCTGAAGCTTATCCAGCCATTCCTTGCGCCATACGCCACCAGCACCATTCTCGTTCGCTGTCCCTTCCCCTCCGCCCGCAGCTGGCCAAAAGAGACAAGACCACCACTGAAGCAAAAATGCTTGTTAACTATCGCCTTCTTTGGTGAAGGACGACCTTCGAGGAAATAATTTTGGTGAAACATGTATAAAATAAAAGAGAAAATAGAATATTAACAAATCAATTACAGTGCAGGAATTCTAAGTTTCTTTAATTTTTTGACATGGAAAATTTGTAATTTATTAAGACATGGCGTTTTTATAATTAAAAATGCGCCTTTTCCATTTTTGAGATTGTACACATCGTTTGAAATATGTACTAATGATAATACTGAACGTTATATTGTCGTAGTATGTACATTAAAATAGTCGTCAGTCGTCGCCACTGCCCATCTAATAATTTCAAAAGCCAATGAATTAATTATCCTGTTTTATTAAATATTCCAACCAATTTTATACTTCATTGAGGTACAGCCTTTCCAAATTCAGACAAGTTATATCCTCAAAAGAGGTCATCATTTGCTAATATCAGAATTTCATTTCATATTGAGACACGAGGTACTCGCACGAGATTTATTTACAGTGATTAGTAGTGGTGATGACATATAAATTCGTTTGTTGCGCTTAAAATTTATTCGGTTGTTGTTTACAACAAGGAGTGCGATTTCAAACGTTAAACTACCTATTTGTTAGTATCCATTTTTGTTTATTTTTTTTAAGAACAGCTTTGTGATATACGATGGCCAACCTACACGAAAATCCGACAATAACGTGCCGTGAAGCTGTATGGAATAAAATGTTCACTATTAGAGAATTCTTTCGAAGTGTGTGGCTAATACGCCCAGCTCGTTCATAAATATCTACTATTAGCATACACTTATTTCGCAACTCCCGAGTCTTGTAATTACGTTACGCCACTTCCCCAGTACAGGAGAGAGCCATTGGCATTGGATCTTGCATTGGCGTTAGGCAGGAGTCGCAAGTTGAAAATTATGGCGGGGTTTTGGTGCCGGCATGGTCTTGTGCTTTTTATTCTTATACACACCGCTACGATAGTCGAAAATTCCAAATTAAATGTTCCTCGTGTGTTGTTACCCCTTTTTCATTCCTTCAGACTCAAATATATATTGGAAGGCACAGATTTGGAATGTTACAAATGGTAAGTGTCTGAAAAGTAAAGCGTTCTGTACGGGAGAAACCAACTGGATTAATAATTATCAGTGTATAAGATTAGTAAAGTTCAAACTTTCGTACTTCCTATTTCAAGTTTCTTTCCGTTTAGCCTTCTTTTATGGTGTGAATCATTGCACGAAATTTCTTTGAGTAACATAACCTCTAAATGTGTCCCAGTTGGGACAGCAGATTGTGGTATTTAACGCGTGGGACTTTTGTGAAACGTATGTTATAACGCTCTATGTATTTTTTAGGTCGACATCACGCCCAGAAATCCTGGATGTTCAGCCACTATATGAAGATACTCACCGAGGGTGTTCATCTAAAGCAGTTGTATCTCCTCTGTCAAAAGAATTTGACCGCAATACTGCTATTGTTTTTGCTGAAGAACTTCGATCTGGAAATATTTTACGTTGTGATGTTATTATGGATGTTATTCATTCTCTTAATGTTATTACTACCACAAGGGAATTATACATTGAAGAGGCACCAGAAGCATTCGAAGTTAGAGCATATGATGATCAAGGTTCTTGCACATTCTAATTTTTATATAACTAGCATTACTCTCCTGCTCTGATGGCATCAGGGAAATGACTACAAATCAAACTAACAGTTCAAAAGTAGTAGGTTGTAAATCCAGTCTCTGGAGTAAAATGTTCATAAATATTTTTATTCTAATAAGTGGTTCAATAAGATCTTGTCTGATCCTTTTTAACAGACTTAATTGGTTGAAAATTAAAGAGAAGAGTAGGGGAAAAGAAAATTCAGTATACTAACTTGAAAAAAAAAGCATTTTTTTGCCATTTGTAAAAACAAAACAAAAAAACAAAAACAAAAACAAAACAAAAAAAACCCTGGTTCATGTACATTTTGGTGTTGGACTTTTATAAGTAAAAACAGTATATAAAAATCAGGCAAATTCAGTATTTTTCTCTGAGGGATTTTAGGTTTAGTTTAGGTTTAAACTTTTTGCATTCTCATAAAGAATTTTTTAGTTAGGACAAATATAAATTGTATTTGTAAATTATTGTCTTACAAGTAATCTTTGTAATATTAACAATTGATAAAACAATTATTATTATTTGTCTGTATAGAAAAGAGTAAAAGTGATTATGATCATTGGCTTGGAAGAGGGGTCTGAAGCCTTACGAGTCCCTGCCTGCATGTGCCTTTGCTAATATTAAATTGTCACAAAAGCCTAAGCAAAAAGAATGAATGTCCAAAACCTTTCTGGAAATATTTTACAATGTGATGTTATTATGAATTTTAGTCATTCTCTTTATGTTATTACTACCATAAGGAAAAGGTACACTGGAGAGGCACCAGAAGCATTTAAAGTTTGAGCGTATGTGATGATCAAGGTTCTTGTGACTTCTAATTTGTACATAACTAGCATTGCCCATCGGCTAGTTTGAAACTATTGTGAACCTTACCTGCATACATTATTGTATTGGTAATGTCATGGTTTAAAACTATTATAATAGGCTTGATTTTAATATTTATATATTAGGTCACTTTTTTGATCCATTAAGGCCCTTTTGACAACTCTCCATCCTTGCCATCCTCCCTTGATGTTGATCCCCAGGATTTCTTGTCTCCTTACCCATTCTCTTGAACAAATGAACTAAGTTTTCCAAAATGGGACCCTCTCTCTCCATGACTACTGAGTCTGCTTCTATAGGCCCATCTATGCATTGCCTTTTTATTATAATTGCCTATGTAATACATCTTTCAAGATGAGTTTGTTGTGATTCTACCGCCTTAACAATTTCAGCTAGCCAGGTGAGCATGTTATAGTTTTAACAAATATACAGAAATTTTCAAACAAGAAGGGCTTCATAAAATTTTTGGCTCATTGCTGAACAATAAGTACTGAATATCATCAAACTTTACTTTAGAGATAGGTCTCGATTTATCATATCTTAGGTGCCCAAGGAAAGTGGCACCTGTAAAAAGTCATAATTGTTTAGTAATGTGGAGAAGTATATTTTGAAAGTAAATAATTTTTACTAGTCAAAATACTAAGATTTTCACGAGTTAGCTGGTTCATATATTTTGCCTGCGAAATAAACAGTTAAAATCATTTTCTAGCAAATGACAATTTTTTAGATGTGTGATATTTAGCTAACTCAGAAATCATCAACATTGGGTGAGTAGTGAAGAAGGAAATATGTAGTTGTTAAATATTCTTAAGCTTTACTTTCTGGAATACGTATGTATATATGCAGTAATATATGCAGGAAAGAAGAAGTTATGTAATGTGCCAAAGAACTGTGGGTTTTCGACAAACTCATGTGGAGTCATGATATAGAAATAGTGGATAAATATTGTTCCAATATGTAGTAAATTACTTCCTCTAACATGTGTAGTTAGATTTCATGATTTCTGAGTCCTTGATGTTGAAAAATTTGTTTACAGTAAACAACCGTCAGTCTGTGAACAACACTATTGTATAGAATTTTTGTGGGATTTTTCCCAAAATGAATATTTTGCTGTCTATCTGTCCTGACGCAAAGCTCTGACGATTTTGAACATGCTTTAAATTTTGATGGTCCTTTACATGGAACCCCTGGGATATTAAAAAAAATATTCAAAAATAGCCCCACATGTTTTTCCTTAAATTTTTTGTAAGAATGAAGCGAAATACATTTGAAAAGTTGGCATAGTTCTGATTTTTATTGTTTACACTAAATTTTTAAATGTTGCGAAAGATTGAAATTGTTTGGGTGTCTTTACTCAATAATTGCAATATTGAACATTGTGATTTTTTTCTTCAATTGAAATTTGTTCTTCACAATGAATTTGCGGTTCTTTAATGATTGCCATGTGCATGTTTTTGTAAATTTTAGTAGTTTTCCTGTAGTTTTGAATGAAATACGGACAATATTTTTAAAAAATTTAAAAACAAGAATTTCTCAGAAATTGTTCCAAATTTTTTCTTTTAACTTTCTTTGTGGATAGTGCTAATTGCACTATATTAGATAACGTAAACATTATTTTGTTGTATTCTTTTGTTTTTTCAAAAATTACCTAAATGTAATATATTTGTCGCATCCCTCAAGGTCATGAATATTTACTTTACCTGCAATTTGTATACATCATTACATATGCGAGTATCAGTGCTTTAAATGTCTTACAAAATTTCTTGAAAACTTGACAATTTTGTGTGAAAATGAGCTTAAACGTCCTTATTTTCAGAAAGGTTTAAGCGGACTTTTGATACAAACGGCTTTTAATCTTTTCAATGAAATTGTTCATTTAGGTTCAGATTTTACCCTTCCATAATTTCCTCAGTCATATTACAATTCCATTTTTAGTTATCTGAAAACTTGAAAGAACAAGTTAAAAAAGTGGGTTTTAGTACCAATAATGGCAGCATGGAGGGAAGGGAGGGGGGGGGGGGGCGACAAAACTGAATATGTGGCACAGACTGAAGTATCTGGTACAAGACAGTCTGAGTGATTCAATAGGAAAATTTGTATTATAGAATTATTTTAATAGAAATATTCTTAATTATTAATGTTATAATAGATTATATGCAGGGTAAATCACGTAACTTTAGCACCTCTTGTAATTTTTGAATGGTTGAAATTATTGCAATGCGGTTTTCATTGAAACGCATGAGGGAATGGGGCTAATTGATGCTCGTATTTGTTTTCATTTTATCACTTGTATTTTATGACACATTCAGGTAACTTTTCTTTTTTCTAATGGAACTATAATATTTTTGTAGCAAACCATGATGATTATAAAAAGATTAATCCAATGAATACATATTGTGTTATGTGTTAGATAAGCATATTTTGAGTCATTTTGATTTTTTTTGTGACTTGTATGTAATGGATATTTTAAATGCAACAGTCCCTCCTTAGGTCACGCAGCACTGTCCCTGCTCTGCATGCTCAGGGTGTTAAAATTTGTTAAACATGAGTTGCAAAAAAAAAATCAAAAGTACTCAAAAAAATGCTTATCTAACATATAACAATATGTAAATCATTGGTTCTGTCATTTTACGCTCGTTATGTTTGGTTTAAAAAAATTGTATAGTTCCATTTGAGCGGAGTATACAAGTTTATACTAATATCATTAATTAACATTCAAAAAAGGATTATAAAAATTATTTATAAAAAACATATATCATACCTCACAGAATCTTTATGTATATAAACCAATTTTTTCCTCCACTTAAACTCACTTTTTTTTTCTTTTATTCACAGTTATTTTTTTCTTTTCTGTTTTATTTTATGTTAAGTATAAGAACGGACATGTTACTATTAAGCAAAAAGTTATTGTAACAATTTTTTTTCCGGTCTGCCCACAGGCATGGCCTCCCGCAGTATTTTCTGTTTATGTCATTCTGAAAATATGTATTTATAACAACCTGGAATACAAATAAATAAAGTTTCAAAAAAATAATAATTTGAATAAAGCAAAGTTTTCTCAATAACTCGTAAAATGCAGGTGATAAAATGGAAATGAATACGTATATAAACAAGCACCATTCTCTGATGTGTTTCCATGAAAACTGCATTGCAATAAGTTTAGATATTTATAAATTACAGGAAGTGCTTAATTCTATTTACGTATCTCACCTGTATATGGAATTAATAGAATTTGTTAAATAGTGAAGAAGTAGCGCCCTGTTTAATTTTTTAATTACACTTATATAATATGTTTTATATACTATTTATTTATTATACATATATGGTCTTGTTTTCATTTTGTATTGATGTTTGTTTGTTTGTTAAGGCAATGAGTTTTCATCATTGGAAGGGGTGGAGTTAAAATGGACTTTGACAACTTGGACAAGTCAAGGTGGTGATGTGAAAGGAACAAATGTGATTCGGTTTATGACATTTAATGAATCACCATATGAAACACCGCCTACTGTTCAAGACTTAGATAGCCGGGGATTGCGTGGCCATATAATTTTATTGGAAGGATTGAAAACGGGGACCGCCAAGGTTTGGAAATACCTACTTAGTTCTTCTCTTATCAATTCTTTCTTTATTGAAGTTATTTCTTGGCTTTTATTTTCTCATGTACTTGTATATGAGAAATATATAAATATTTTAGATTTTATTGCTACTTTTTGATGCTCCTATTCAATTCTGATATTGTTAGTCTGGAGTCTTCTCTTATTTGCATGCATTATCTTATCTTTCGAATGCAATAAACTTTTAAACTCATTCTTGTAAGTGTAGTTTTGTTTCTTTAGCATTTTTGAATTTTTAAAAATCATAATTATTAATTAAACTAATAGTCTTAAAAAAGGATTCCTAAGGATTCTTTTTTAATATGCTAATTGTGTTGATATTGTAGGTGACTGTTGGATTGCCATATTCAGAATACGCAGAGGTGCAAAATATAGTAGTGCAGTTGAATGTCATGTCCAACCTTATCATATCACCTGCAGAAATTTATGTGATAACTGGGGACAGTATACAGTATCGCGCATTACAAGTAAGTATTTACTGAAGCCTATGAACAATTATTTTATTTTGCCCAATTAAAAAAGTTTAACACACGCTAAGATTATGTATTGTGGTTTTTCTGAATGTGATAGCTCATAATATTTTTATTTATTTGACATAATACAAGTCCAGGACTGTATGTTACTAAGTTACTACAACATCATTGCATACAGAAATACAATTATGAACAAAGAACATTAGAAAAAATTACAGCGCTATATACAACTTATATCTAACATCATGGCATACAAAAATATAAACATATGATTATAAGGATAGAACATGAAAAGAATTATTACATATTATTAAGATATTTGTTAATATAGGTAGTTAGAGAGGAAATGGAAACATCAAAGATATATACATCAGATTCATTGCTAACTAATAAACTAGAGGATCGTTCCATCACTTTAAATAGTCTTGCATTACACAATAGATGATTGGAAGTTATTGCATTATAGAACAGTCTGTGGGAACAACTATTCTACATGGGAATTTAGAACGCTTCTTCTCAAAAAATTGTGGAAATTGTATTATGCTTCTAATTAGTTTTATCAGACACTTGTGTTCAATTTGATATTATTATTACGGGTAAAAAGGATAGAGAGTGAATTTTAATTTACCTTTCTTTTATTTTGAAAGAAAAATGGAAGGGAAAGGAATATTAATTCTCTTTGTTTTAATTTTTGGTAACTTGTGTTTTTGTATTATTTTTGCACTAATATATGTATTAGCAGAAGTAAATATTTATACAGTATTTAAGTGTTGTATGTCTTGTTAGTTTCCAATATTATTTCTTTGTATGCATATAATTGTCCAATAGGCTAAAGCGTAGAAGATGATATAACTTAAGGAAGTTAGTTGTTTAAACCATCACTTCCATGTTGCTCTGGCAAGGGGGAAATCCACGATGGAGGGGACAAGGCATGATTAGGGGCTTATGAGGGGAACTTTTCAGTGGGGAGGGGTAGTGAGCAATGTGTGTGTACTTCATATGTACAACATGGCCAATCTAATTAAATTTAAAATTACACTACTGGTGTAACTTTAACTTGTACTGGTAAACTTCAATGGTTTGTAATTGGTCACGATTGTGACTTCATAAGTTAGTGGAGGCAATTTCCCCCAAGCATCTTGTTGAAGCGCCATCATCAAATAGTGCCGCAATTGTGGTGGTGTATCCCTGTGATTTTGTGTGTTGTGGTAGCTGTTGAAGTGGTTAGTTGCTGTCATACAGATCCATTTCTTGTGCTCCTCTGATTATTTGTGTGTTGAGTGTTTGTGCTACGATGGTGAGGATAAATGTGTTTTTTACACTCATTGCGCTGAATGGGGTTTTTGGCTGGAAACGAGTGGGCTCAAGAACTTGGTTTGGTTGCTCCAAGATTTACACGATCTGTGTGTGTCTGTCGAGGTTGGCAAAGTGTTGTGATCATTTTGAGTGGAAGTGCAATAAGAAAGGGGACCACTCCTCATATGCATAAGCATTCTGTGCAGAAGGGATCTATGGAAAGATTTTTGTCATTCTTTGTTGCTTCCAAACGAAACGATGCATAAAAATTGCTTATCAGTATGTTTTCTTAATATCTGTCAGAGCGCTTAGCATAGTTTGAGGGAGGGCTTAAGGAGACTCCCCTTCCCATCCCCTGCTCTCTTCCAATTCCTCTGCCCTCCTCCCCTTTCCCCTCCCTCTGCCGCGCGTGCGCTAGGGCTTCTCTAAGGCCCTACCACGTTCTCTATTTTAACTGTATTATTTACTTCTAACAATTTTTTTTTGCCTTATATAAAATTTGAAGTTTGTTTCTAGCTGTATTATTCTTACTAGTACAAGTAGCCTACTGCATACACCAAACAGAGAAAGTATTGTTATGCTAGAAGGGGGTGGGGGAGAACTGATTTTCTGATGGAAATGTTTTCCTGTTGAACCCTGGTTTCTTTTTATTAAGTTTGTTTGTTGTTGTTTGTTAAGTTTAAGGAAGAGGTCCTACTCCAATTTTCAATGCACTATGTATTTTTGAAAATTGCAAAAAATTTGAAATCGAAAATTTTAAATTTCCCACGATTTGACAAAAAAACGTTGTTGGAAGACGACATGAATGGAACGATGACATTTTATTTATTTAAAGGTTAATGTAATAAATTATATTCAGGAATATTAGGCAATCCTCTTTTATTCTTTTTAGAATTAACATATTCAAAAATTTCTCTGATCAGTAGAAATAGAAGAAACCACCTTAAGATTAAATTTTGCAAAAGCTCTACCAGGTAGGTATTTGCATTTACTCAAGTTACAAAAAAGGTCGTAATGTATAGGCAATCTACAACTTTTACATTAGATGTGCTTCCTTCTTGCTTATAATTGAATATTTGAGTTTCCTCCTGTGCTGAGATGGAAACTTTGGTTTCATCAACCTTTTTTGGGGTACCTATTTAAAAATCAATGCATTGATGAACATAAAAATAAAATACCTCTACAAAATCATCAAGATCAAAATTCTGAGATAAATGAGAATATAAATTGCTCAAATAATGCAAAATAATAGAATAGATTACAGAAAAAGAGTGATGAATCTATTTAGTCTTCAATAGTAAGTTCACAATATATATAATCATGGTAATCTGGAGTTAAAAAATTCATTGTTTCAATGGTGAGTAATGAGTAGTGGTGGATTTTAATGAATGTTATTTTTTTTTCTTTTCACTTTAGGACAATGCCGTTTAGTGTAGAAATTTATTTTATGTTATCACAAAAGGAAATGAACCATTTTTATAGGTTATTTTTTTTTGGTCTTTGTCATTGATTTCGACTAATAAGTTATTTTTTTGCCTTTCTTATCAATTTCAACTAAGAAGTAATTTTTTTGCCTTCATATGTGATATTTAATGCACTTTTTGCTGATTTCAGTGACTTAAATAGTAGAAACGGTACTTGCTTTGAACAATATTTAGGAGGTGCAACATATGTGCACCACAGAATTCCTGATTTCTTCGCTCAAATATTGTAATGTCAGCCGTGAGTTCTATGGTTTCTGTTCACCTATAGGCGCCATTGACACTTCAGCCGATTTTATGTTATATAAAGGCAGAGATTTTCTTTTAAAGGACAGTCCAGACTAAAAGATTGCGAGTTGTATTCACTTGAACAAAAGGAAGAAACCTCGATTATATCAGTAACATATCCAACAGCTGAAATAGTTCATCCAAAGTGGTTTTGATTTTAAAAAAATTGTCATTTTTCTTTGTTTTTAGGTCCTTTTTAAAGCATTTTAAATGCATTTTATTGATAATCTTTGGCAGTATTACAGGTCATCAAAATCCGCCCCTAGTGATGAGCATAGGTTGACACAATTGTCTCACAAGATTCAGTAACCAAATGGCTGTCAGAGTCAGAAAATATTAAATCAAGCATGACATTATCAACATTGCTCATAATATTCAATTGAAACAAATTTACGAGGTTTTGTTTGTGAATATGACCTATTGCTCTTCCACAATTTCTTTGGTGACGAGAAGTACTTTTCATGGAACAGAATTGCTCCCCATGTTACCATCGTTAAATTAATAAAGAGAAAATAATTAAATTGGATTTAATATTAAGAGTGTCCTAATTAAATTGAAAAAAGTCAATGCTGACCTTCAGAAATCAAATGAAGTATAGCTGAAGTGAAAGAACTCTAGGAATGAAGAACAAGTGAGATATTCCTTACAAAATTCTGATTTTGAAATTTTTCTACGCTGAATCAAAAGAAGGCCATGCTACTAATGTAATTTTTTATAGTATAAATGAAGACGAGAACTCATCTTCTGAACATTTGCTGGAAAAGCAGATACTTTAATTTTAAATGAGGTTATGAATCTTAATGATGATCACATAATAAACACCAGACTGCGTAATGTCGCTAAGCGAAAGTCCGCAGCTGATTCTGGTACTTCAGAGGCCTGTTAAAGTAATTCTTCGAAGGTCTTCAAGGTCTGGGTTTGCTCTTAGTATTCTACGTACAGATCTTAAGTACAAAGGTCCAATATGTATCGGAACTTATCTTACAATATGTCAGCTTAAATATCTAAAAGGGTCATTTAATGAGCTAAATGCAGCTTGTAAAGAAGGCTTTGAGAATTAAATGTTTCAATAGAGTTCCAAAAATCATCGATGATTTGAAAGATCACTTGAATTCATCACTTCATTGTGGGCGGAAAATCTTATCTCCATACAATCATCAAAATTATCTTTATATTATCAAAATGTTTGCCCTATTGTCCAAGGCATCACCTCAACTGGACAACTTTGATGTTATAGTATTTACTGCGACATGCTGAATAGATGAAATCTTTGATGCTGAAATAAATCTTTATAATAATGTCATCTCCTGCACAGATTGTAACTCTCAACCAGCCCGCACAAAAGGAAGGTAGAGTTCTTGTTCCTACTCATAACAAATATTGCAGTACAGTTACAGAACCGATAAATTCTGGTATCAAATTTAAATTTTTTAAAATTAAATTAAATTCTTGATATTGCTATTGTTGGTGCTGTATGTTTTTCTCCAAATTCGTCGTACTAAGAATATGCTACATACTGATAAAATTGAAAATTTATCCGAAAGATATCAATTAGCTAAATATATTTTGACAGAGGATTTTAATTTACCTTATTCTGAATGGTAGTAAGTCAATTCTGGAGTACAATGTAACCATCGCAATGTGTTTGGTGGTGAAATCTTTGCTAGCTCACAGCTTGTGCAGTCCTTCCTGCAAACTTAGAGTGGAAATTAAGGGTATGCTCAGGCTTCTTTCCTCTCCCTCCCCCCAAAACTGGACAAAAATAATTAAATAAAAGATAACTAGGTGAATGAAACATTTGGAAAAGTGAGAGCTTTGACAGCTTTAATAGATTAAGACAAAATGTCAGGCATTTTTTTGATACTGTTGTTTTTGGGAGGGAAAGGTTGGTCCAAGACCACCCCTGGGGGTCAGCAACTGAAACATCGAGTGGGCGATAGCTAGTAGGTTCATAGATACGATTATGATTCATTGTAGGCTGCATCTCAGATTGGACAGCTTGCAATTTTTAAATCTGAGATTTTCTAATTGAGTAGACATGCAATGTGTGTAAAAGATCTTCGTGTTTTGTTTCTGCCCCCCCCCCCAAAAGAAAACCTCACATTATTTTACTTAAAAGACATAAATGGAAAGTGCATAAAGGGTGCAACACATTGTAAAATATGACAGTCTCTTTTAAATAATAAAATGAAACTCTAGAAATTAACGACTTGAAATTGGGAACAAACACTACATGGGTCACCCTTTATTTTCTTTAGAATTGGTCTGTATAGGAGAGAGTCTAGAACTGAGAGGTGTCCAGAATGAATGGTTTCACTTTGCGAGTTTTGTAATCAGTGACTAACGTGCCTGTCTCTTATTGTTTTGTATATGAATAGTTCTGTTAGGTATTCTGCTGGATTTTAAGTACTTATTTAAACTTATGAATTCTTTTTTCACAGGTAAAAAATGGCCGTTTGGAAGAAGTCCTGTTGTTAACACAACAATATTATTGGGAAGTTCAAGACACAAACATAGCTTCCTTGGATGAAAAAACAAGTATGGTGACTGCCCTCTCTCCTGGGAAGACACGTGTGGTACTTCATGATCGTAATATAGATGAGAGTGAAAAAGTTGCAAGAATTCCCACAGCAAATTTAGTAGTCTCTGAGCCTGCATATTTAACATTAACTATATTACCACATCGCAACTGGGCTGTGTTGGTAGGAGAGAAATATGAAATTGTTGTTGATGTTTTTGACAAGTGAGTTTCTTAAATGTACAAAGTTTTTTGTAGAAAATTTTTTTGAATATTTAATTTTAATCGAACAAAACTATTTTCAGGGATGACAATAAACTTCATGTGGGTGATGTTGAAGTTACAACATTAGTGCCTGCTGAATATTTTCTGGTGAAAAATATTTCTAAAAATGGCACCTATTTGTATGGTGAGCCTTTGGCAGTTGGCACTGCCCAAGTTCGAGCAACTTTGCATGCAGTTAGGGACCACCAAGGGAAAAGAAGAGCTTTTTCTCCCAAAATCTTGGTCCAAGCAAATTTAATGATTTATAAGTCTATATTTGTGAAACCAGCTGATGTTATTTTACCTTGGGAGCCAGTGTTGAGACCAAGGTAAATATATTATAATCCTAGTGATTAGGTGTGCTTTGTCTGGACGTTCTTGTATTGTACTTTACAGTCCTGTGGAGATTTTTGTTTATTTTGCTGCAAACTTGCAATGAGTTATGTTGTAGGTTCAAGGAAGAGAAAAATCTCTTTAGATTGTTAAGCACCTCTGGCATTGATTGTAATTCTTATTTAATGCGCATTGTGTTATGTATTTTATTTTCTCCATTACTGCTTATGCAGCAAAAAGAAAGTATTGAAATGCTGCGGGAAAAATCAGTGATTTTTGGACAGAAAAACTTATTGCTGGGCCCTGGTAACAAAAATTTGGGTACATTTATCTTCAATATGTAGTACATTACTTCCTTTAACATGCATAGTCAGAATCTATGTTTTGTAGGTCCTTGATAACAAAAAATCTGTCCCATTGTTTGTCCATCTGTCCATATGTTTGTGGTTAACGCTAACATCCAAACTGTTCGAATGATTTTCTCTGATATTTGTATTTCTTGATTGATCTGAACCAACTCAAGGCTGTATGAGTTGAAACAAATGTTTTTATTTTATTTTTATTTTTAGGGGTACACATTTTTTTCCTATAAAGCCTCCACAACACTTTTGCGAATTCTTTCGAAAATGACTTAAAGTTTTTTGATAAAACTTTGTACGGTGATAGCGTAAAGGATGCTTAAAAGAATGGCACAGGTCTGATTTTTGTTAAAATTCCAGATTTTCATTGCAAAACTTGCAATAGTCCAAAATTTTTTTGGCATCTTCCAACAACTACAATATTGAAGATAAAGATTTTTTCTAAATAAAATCGTATTCAAAGGCAGATATTGAAATAAAGCAGTGTTGCAATTTTTTGATTTGTCTTGATTTGAATATGTTTGGTCTCAATTTGAACAAGCTTGTTCTCATTCTGAAAGTGTTTGTTTCAATCTGAAAGTATTTTTTTCCCATTTTGAAAGTGTTTGTTCGCAACTTGAATGTCATTGGTCTCATTTTGAAGTTGAAAAAGTGTAAACTTAGCATGGTATTTTTGACTTTTCAAGAGATTTTCTAAGGCTCCACGTATAATGGTCAGCTCTCAGCTGGCTTTTATCAGTTTGTTCTTCTCCTTCTGGGATGTGCTTTCTTATTGCTCTTTTCATATGTAGTCCAATGGGAATCTAAGACCAATTTCACTTTTTCATGCTTAAGAAGGAACTTCTTAAGAAGAGAAAGTAACGTAATGCTGCGTGGAAAAAGAACGAATTTTCAGCTACAAAACTTATTACAGGGCCGTGGTTATCAAAAAGTGGATAAATCCTGTTTTGCCAAATTTAGGGAGAAAAACTCCTCTTACACACGTAGCCAGAATCCCTGTTTTCTGGGCCTTCGATACTGAAAAATTGATTGATTGTAATTTTCTAGGTATAAGTTAGAATGTGTATATTATTTCATATTTCTTTGTTTGTTTCTTATTATTTATTATGTGTATATACAATTATTTTTTTCATTTTAAATTGCATCTTTAATTGTGTTAAATGTGAAAACGATTGAAGAGCGTTTATTATTGGTTGTTGTTATTCATTGTGTTGGTTGTTGTTCACAAGGACGTTGCGTTACAGGTGATACTCTCTGAATGTACTGGACCAATACCAATAAAACTTTGGTGCTAGCTTCCTTTAAAGGTCAAAAGTGCTGTAGGCCATGATTTACAACCATAAACTGTAATATATTTACAAAATAATTACTTTTGTGAACATTTTTCATTACATGAACCTAGCATTACATCACAGATTCAAGAGTGCATCAATGTGCAATAGTTTGGTTGTGTGCCATGAGGGAAGACGACGACAGATCTACGATTGAGTTCATCAGTTCACAGAATTGCATGTCTGGGACCATTTATTTATTTTACGTACTACATTCAATTGTCTAATCCAAAATGTTTATATTAAAGCATTATTTTCACAGTTTTTTCACTACATTTATAAAAGTAAAGTAAGATATTGAATTTAATTTGCATCTACGAGTGAATATATAGTGTACAAGTGATTTGAAATTATTGAAGAGAAAAGTCATTTTGCTGATGTGCTTGATATTGGCATAAAAAGATTTGAATATCCGTATATGTTCTTAATGAAATAGTTATTCATTTAGTTGTAGTACATTCAGCTTGATTATTACGTATTTGTGAGTCACACCAGTGAAAGTGAAACTTTATGAATGATTTGTATGTTATGCTGAAACTGTGGCAGATGGATGAATTAGTGTTATTATAGTGGAGAGTGAAAGCGTATCTTTGGGTGGTGAAGGAATGATTATTTAAACTGATCCGAGTAAGTTCAACATGAAAACTATAATTGAAGTAAACGAATAAAGGGAAATGGGAGTAAGTAAATGTGTGTCAATGCTGTTTTTCAAGGTGGCTGGAAACAGAACCAAAGATGTTATTTTAGATAATAGAAAAACTTTTGTCAAGCCAGGATCCAATGTGATCTCGGATTTTTGAAGATATTATAATCGTCTAAGTAGTTAATGGCACCTTTCCATCAGCCTCTATTTATCAAGAACCCTAAAACACGTACACCAATTCAATTAAAAGTATGTATTTATGGACTATGGCACAACAACTCTTTACGAGGCCTACCAGCAGTGTTTAAGAATTGCGGCTACGTGTTAAGGAGTACATATGGTTAGCATCCCTATGCAGTATTCTGGTCTTCTCAACCTGAGAAGAGCACTTTCTCACCCTCACTCAGTAACATATACTTAGACATTGCAAGGAAAGCGTACAATTAACTTTCGTCCCGACCAGGTATCGAACCCGGGGTTGTGCCGTGGAAAGCAAGCACGTTAAGCAAGGAGCCACCGAAGGCTTCTATTAAAAGTTCTTTAAAAATATTTAAGCATCAAAAGACTGAATCATTGAGGGAAGTTTGGGGGTGGGTATCCAAATAAAAAATATACATATTTTTATGTGCGAAAGTGAGTGAGGAAGACCTGGTGTTTTCAGATGGGAGCAAGGCGGAGAAGAGCAGTGCAGGGATACAATAGAATGGATAGAAGTAGAGTTCACCGCAGGGCAGGATTAGATGAAATTCCTCTTCCTGTCTAATAAATTATTATAAATAACTGGGCAACGCCTGGTACTTCAGCTAGTATTACATAATTTTAGATTTATTTGCATTTGTTGGCAATGCTATCAGTATCGTATTATTTATTTATTAACTTTTAATTATTTTACTTTCTTGCATCCTGCTTATTTTTCACACCAAATGTTCTTCGATTTCAAATGAGTTTTACAAAAAAAATTCAGAGAAATTGTGGTGTAAATAGTATGACATAACCAGTACTAATGGCGAGAAAGTACTTGCTGTCGTAGCACCACTACTTTTCCCGAGATTTCAAAAATCTTTACTTTGAAAGTACAAGATCTTTCATTGCCCTCATCTTGATTGAATATTTTCACATTTTGTCATCCATCATCATCTTGACTGAATGCATTAATGTATTGTCTGCCATTACCCTCCTCAGTTTGAATGTCTTCATGTATGTCATCCATTATTGTCCTCATTTTGGCTGAATTTTCATTTTGTCTTGATATTCTGTCATCCTTCTTGACCAGTTGGCTTAGGCTACATGTCCAATGCGAAGAGTTTGATGATTTCCCTGATAGCCATAGATTATTTCATCACACTTCTTTCTTAGTATCAGGTTCTGTGTGGCACGGCAAGCCAGACCCTGTAAGCAATCTGGCCAAGAAATAGCAAGTGTGCAGGCATCTTTGTTAATGAACAGCATTTATTAGATTTTTTTTTCCCTTTCTGATTGAAGGTGTGTCATTTAAACAGTTTTTTCTCTCAAAAGTCCTATAATTTAGATTGTGTTTGAACTTGCAAACATAAATATGGTGGCATAAATGCTGGCCATTACTTCAACCAAGTTTAACTTTCATGTGTTTATGAGCCCTCAAAATTAACTATTCAAATGAAAATTTGGGACTTGTCAATTTAATTGCCAAATCTATTTCAAATGTATTATTTAAGGAACATATTATAATTTGTGAATAGTTTATTATTAGTCTGCCTTTTGTTTTAGGTATATTGTTGAATTGGATGCGACTGGCGGAGATGGCACTTATATCTGGAGTAGTAACAATAGATCAGTGGCAACAGTCACTGCTGCAGGTGTTGTCACGACGTATATGAATGGTCATGTGGAAGTATATGCATCCATGGCTAGCAATCCTCATAATAAAGGAGTGTCAAAGTTTCACATTTTGCCTCCAAAAGTAATAGAAATAGTTGATTACATTCAAGAAACTGAAATAGGCAAGCCAATATTTCTGCATATTGCCCTTTTTACAAAAAAACAGTTTATCAGAGAAAAAACTGTTGGTGGTAGAAAGGATTCCCAAGATTTAGTTCATTTTACACAGTGTGATCAAGTGCCATTTGGTGTGCGTGTGTGGGATGACATCTTTGTTTACAATTCTTCATTGCGAACAGTACCTTCAGGAGTTGCTTGTACTACTCTTGGAATTGAAGCAGTTGGACTTGGAACGTCAAAAGTTACTGTTTCTTATGATTTGCCCAGCAATGTGTTGACAGCTCATGTAACAGTTGCAAGTTTCAAGCCACTTAACATTCTGTTTCCTGCATCAGGAGAATTGGTCTTAGCAGTTGGCTGTTCTGCCAATGTGATGTTTACTGGTGGTCCTTTACCATGGGTAGGTCAATCCACCGAGCATGTCCGTCATATAGAGTCTGGTGGGGAACAGAGTGTAGTGTCTGTAACAGAAGTAAATAATAGTGAAAGACAAGATCCATATATCTATAATGTTTTGTGCAAACAGCTTGGAGAGGCAGAAGTTACATTAACTGTTAGCAATAAACCTGTTGTAAAACAGAGTGGACATTCAGAATCTACTGCTTCTGTCAGGATACTCTGTGCAAAACCCAGATACTTAGTATTACTACCTGAAGTGGATAATCCAACAAAAGCATCTTGTCCTATAAACTTAAGCCCAGAAAGGGTTGTTGTTCAGTCTTTCAACAATGTCAAATTGTTGGCCATTGTTAAGGATGCACATGGCCGTGAATTTTACAATATAAGTAGTTTACAATTTGATTGGAAATTGTCTGATGACTCATTAGCTTCTGTTGTTAAACCTGAATTTGTACAAGTTGAAGTAGATGATCATATTCCTCCCAATGTTCACTTTTACCAATACATACAACCACATGGAAAAACTGGTGTTTTGGAGGTGAAAGCCATTGTTGTAGGCTATCATGCTCACATTTTACGGAACCTGGATATTGTCCCTGAATATCCTCCTTTTGCAGTAATGGAGGAAAAGGGTTACGACGTTACTCCAGATATTTCAGCAGTGCTAAATTTAATCTTCGTAAATGATGCTCACATTTCTCCAAATTATTCTTTGTTATTTAATCATCCAAACAACAAACTTGTTGTAAATGTTCATGAAGGATCTGGATTTTATGAGTTAATATTAAGTTCAGAAGAAGTTGCTGTAGTTTCGCATCAAGAAGGTTCAAAGGTTATTGAAATATTTCCAAGAGCAGAAGGATTATTAAAGATAGCAATTGCTGATCTTTGTCTGCCCTCTGAGCCAACGGTAGGTGAAATAAATGTTGTGAGCATAGGTAGTATACATGTGGAGGCTCCAGAGAGAGTAGAGAAGGGTCGTTGTGTGTCTGGTCTTGTGAGAATTTATGATTCGTTGGAAAATTTGCTTCCTATTCCTAGGCCCGACCTTTTGGATTTGCGTCCACATATAGAAGAAAATATTATAAGTGTGACGTTACAGTTCAATAAGGATGCCAATGGAAATATTCCTGGGCCTGGAGAAGTTCCTTTTGTCATAACAGGATTGGAACTTGGTGAGAAGCACTTAAGCTTCTCTGCTGGTCATTCTTCCAAGGAAGTTCATAGTGAGTCAGTGCCGATTCAAGTGTTTCCACCTCTGCGACTTTTGCCTCATAACATCACCCTGATAGTTGGTTCAGTTTTTCAAGTCAGCAGTAGAGGAGGCCCGTTGCCTGATGCCAATATTGAGTATTCTATTTCAGGCAATGTTGCTAGTGTGGATAAAACAGGATTGGTTGAAGGCCTCAGTGTGGGAAACTGTGTGTTAATTGGCCGAGCTGTTGGGTTACATCGGGCTACTGGCAAACGTATTGTTTATTCACAAGATTCTGTAGGGATCCACGTTGTACCGCTGACAGGTATAACCATTCAGGCCCCCATTACAAAGATAATAAATGGTGGAAAAATGCCACTGTGGGCTAATGGAATTCCTGATTCAATTACACCTCTTATTCTGGGGTCATCTAAACTTCCTGTTAAATACAATTGGCAAATCTCTTGTAGAGATATTGGTAAACTGTATAATGTTTATCATTATGCTGGATTTGTCACAAATGAAATGGATTTAATAACAATGCATTTCCAAGGACTGAAACCAGGAAGAGTAACAATTGGTTTAACTGTTCTTGTGCCAGCACAAATGGCTCAGGCAAGTGGTGGTAAAGAAGTTGAGTTTTCAGCCAGTTTGGAAATTGAGGTGTTTGAAGAACTCCGTCTTCTGGAACCCTCCACCGCTGGTGAAAGACAATCCCCTCATATTATTATGACTCCGAATTCAGTCACTAAGTTGAAGACCAACCATGAAGGTAATATTAAGTATGTTATAGTAGAAAAACAACCACGTTCAATCAACAGCAGTTCAGAAAATTCCAGTCAAGTGTTAAGTGAGGGAACTCCACTTTTGACTGTGGACTCAGATGGTGTCCTCAAATCCTATTCTGCCCATGGGCGAGGTGTAGTGCAGATTACAGTAAAGGAAGATTTTGGATTTACTCAAATACTTCATGTTACAATAGAGGTAAGAATTCTGTTTTAGATACTCTTCCCAAAAGAAATAAAATGAAATAGAAATAATCAACTTATTCAATTATTCATTTGATTTTAAAATTGTTTTTATTAGGTAAAAACAGTTCGTTACATGTTGGTGAGTTTGAGGCCTCAATTCAGGATCAAAGAATCAGATATGATTTCATTTCTACCTAGAGGAGCAGAAATTCCTTTGAGCATATCCTACCATGATAATGCAGGAAGGGCATTTGATGCTTTTGATTCAGCTATTAAATTGAGGATGAACCGCTTTGATTTAACCAAAATCCAAAGAGGTAGCCAAAAGAATATTATCACAGCTACTGTTCTCAACCATGGAATAACAGTATTGAAATTGTGGGATGACTTGACTTATGATCATGTAACAGAGTTCACGCGACTGAAATCAGCTGATGGCATTCTTCCATCTATTGTGAGTTTTTAATTTTGTTAGTTTCAATTTTATTGAAGAGTTGTGAATGTAGATGATTAGTAGATGCATTTGACCTCATTGCTAAGTGTTTTTTCCAATATGTTACAGAATGTAGTTTCTTTGGGTGATGTAATATGTTTCTATGTACCATTCCTTCCCAAACAAGAGGGAATGGCTGGAATTTGGACAAGTGAAAATGCAGCTGTTATTGAAGTGCATACTGCACTTGGTATTGGTCGTGCTCGAGCTGCTGGTACTGTTGTTATTAAACACCATTTCTCACCAACTGTATATACTTCAAAGGAAATTAAAGTTCAGCCTCTTGCCAAGGTAACTATAATGTTTACTGTAATGTTTTTATCAGTGTATTTCAATTTTATTTCTTTTAGTGATACCAGTGCCTTGCTCTGGTATTCATCAATTTTAAAATTGTTTTTATTAAATAAAATTTCATTTCTGCTAATGATCATTGTTGACACCCAATTTTAAAGTATCTGGTTTTAATTGTTAAAAGGTATGAATTGTATGTATACTCTAAATTATATTTATGTTTGCCCTAATTTTATTACATTGAATCACTTGTCAACTGCTATTTTATTGTTATTAAATTTGTATTTTTTATTATTGTGTATTTGGACAGGAAACATTGTATAGAATGCAATCAATCAATGTTATAAAAACATGTGTTTATGCTGTTAGAGGTATAATGATGTAGTTACAAGAATGTGATTCTGAATCACTTGTGAATAGATGAACTTAAAATGATAATATTTCTAATTAAAATTATACAAGGGATTGTTGGTGTGCACATGTGTGCCTGAGTGGGCGTGTGTGTGTGTGTGAGATATGTTAGTTACTGATGTTCTTATGTGTAATACATCAATCCATTGAATATGGTTCATTAAGTTATTTTATTTTAAATTATGACATGAATATGCAAACAAACAGTTCATGAAACGTCAGTTGAATAAAAGCAATTTAATATTTAAAATATATGTATTTTAATTTGTGTGTTTCCATTTTAATTGTTATTCTTATGATTGTCTCAAATTTGAAGATACTGAAAAATCAATAACATTAATACCTTTAATATCCACTTGTAATATTTTTATTTATGGTTGACTGAAATGTGCTCAAAAGCAGTAGAATGGAAACAAGATTATATTTTGTGACCACTAGATATTGAACACCGAAGATTCTTGAACTTGTTGAAAATCGTTGCCCAACAGTGAAATTCAGCCATTTGTAGATTGTGATTCAATACGTCTAATAAAACTGATTTTATGTATATTTAGGGCTTATACATTTTTATTTTTGTTAATGTTCATAGGTTAAACTTCTACCCCTGAAGGAGTATCATATTACAAATTCAGACCCAGGAGCTGTATTTAGAGTGCCTGTTGTTCTCAAGAGTGCAGATGAAGTGGCGAATAAAGCTAGCAATTTGTTAACTCATGAAGGAACATGTCCTCCTGAATATACAATATCTTCTTTTCCATATTTCTGTTCATTACATTGGACAAATGCTACAGAATTTGACATTGATGATATTTTTGCTGTGACCCAAGATTTCAGCCTGGAAACAGGTGAGTCAGAGGCACTTTTTTTTTCTCTCTCTCCCCCCCCCCCCATCTCTTTATTTCTCTTTCTTTCTCACTCTTTATTTCCCTCTTGCTCTCTTTCTTTCTCTCTTCCTCTTCCTTTCTCTCTCTCTCACTTATTCTCTTGTCTCTCTTTTTCTTTCTTTCTCACCAAAATATTTATGAAAAATTAAAATATTGTATTGTGCAAGATAATACTAAACAAAAACAAACAAACAAACAGGTGTTCTGTTTTCTGTGTTCAGGAATGTGTGCAAGTGCATGATTGGACATGGAATGACTCGGAAACATTATACTCGTACATATTAACAGTTGTGATTTAAAACAATTATTAATTCACAATATTAACTTAATAATATAGTTATTTTTATGCAAGTTCTTTATGGGTAAATAAAATATTTTCTTTTCTTAATTTAGGTCAATACACCTGTGATATTGTGGCCTCTGGTGATCCACCTCCAATACTTAGTACATTGGACACAAACATAACTTTAATTGTGGAATGTGGTGGTCTTCAAGCTGCTCCTTTGCAGTTACGCTTCTTACCTGGAGTTTATATCACCACTCCAGAAATTCATCTAAGTGACGCTCAAATGTCTGGAACATTAATTGTCAGTGGAACAGCAGAAGTTTTAAGTAAACTGGAGGTAAAAATTAGTAATTAGAATTTTCAAATTCATTCATACATTTATTTATAAGGAATATAGGCAACAGTAATCAACTGGCATATCTTATTTACATGTTTAATAGTATTAGTGAAGTTCTTTTATGCATGTTAAGTACGTTTATGAATTTGTATCACCTTTTGTAAACAACACTTTAACCTGTGAGGTATCAATGCACAGCAAGGTATAGAAGTTATTTGAATTAAAAACACAGTACCTACATCTTGTTATGTTTGTGTACTTAGGAAGAACACAATGAGCAGAGCGTACTTATGAAAAACGCAGGATATGACCATGTACTTATTAAAAACTCAGTATATGATGGTTATTTACTACATTTCTCTTAAACTTTAAGCAAACACTGCCTTCTCTCTAAGAAATGTGTGAGAATTATCTGGTTCCTTTTATTTGAAATACCGTATTGAAAGTCTGTGTTGCGAGAACATATTATAAAAGTGCAAGTTTATTTCTCATCTCGTAAGGTACAGATGCATTAAACAAAATTATGCTATCATTTACAAATGAAACAATGCACAAATCATATAATTTTAAAGCCATAAAAATATCCAATCTTAACAAAAATGGCCTACTGTCTACCAGAATTTTCCGCTCCATGATTATTCTGCAAGCCCCAATTTCTTCAGAAAATTGCCATTGTTGACAACACTGTGGGAAGTTATAATCAGTGTGATCATTCAGTTTGTTAATAATTTGTGGTTGCTCTTTTGACAATGTTTCATAGTTGTGGTAAACACATTGTAAGCTTACTTAAGTCAAGTGAATCTTTTATTAGTGATGGAGAAAAAAACAGAACAGTTGAATGTTTTCCAGGCACTTTGCCAGAACAATGGAGTTGCCATCTGCTGTAACTACAATGCTAGCAAAAAGAGTATTGTTGTTCCCTGGATAAAAAACCACTAATATTGGAGAATTTGATGAAAATGTTATTACCTCCGTCACCACATCAACACATAACCAGTGATATTGTAGACCTAGACCTAGATTTTGAACATTTAGCAATATAGACTGAGAATGACAATGTAATCATTGAGCATCAAGTTCGTGTTACTTTTGCTGAAAGTTGACCTCTAGAAAGGACTGAAGAAGAAAATAGACCTATAAAAAATACTGAACTATGGCCCCAGTAGTTGATTTTGAAGATAAACACGCGGCAGAGTAGGATGACCAGAATAAAGAAAATGATGCAGGAAAGCCAAACAAGGAATATGAAAATTTACAGAGTGTTGAACTTGAAATGCCCAAGAGAAGACAGTCTAGAAAAAGGAGAAAGATACAAGAAAGCATAGAAATTTATATAATATGTAAAGAAAGCATACTGAACGGCAAAACATTTAGTTTTGCCACCATGTGACGATTAAATGCACAGAAAGATGATCAGAAAGAATTTCAGATCACAGAATTTTACTTAGCATCACAAAGCAAATTTTGGGACATGTTGCTTTGAAGGTAAAGGGAGGACTACTGCCCAGGATATGTTATCTCCAAGAAGAAAACAAACATATAGTAACTGCTTTATTTTATTGCTAGAATGAAAAAAAAAATCTATAAATAAAAAAAAATGGTATTTAAAAGTTCAATTCAACTAAACATATAGTTACATACTTATTGTTACATTCACCATCTACGTGTGTCAAAGTTAACCTCATTTTTCTCAAAACTTGGTTTTGTGTAGATTCTGCATTTTTTCTTGGGAGGGCAGAATATGCATGTTATCCTCTTACATAACATTATATAAAAAGTAAAAAATTCATATCAATTTATGAATATAAAAACTTGTTGCATTAGTTTGTGAGAATGGTGTAGTCGTGTTAGTTTGGACATGTTATGTTCATTTGAGGAATATACAAGACTTAAAATGAGGATCAGACAACTGTCTACAAAGCAATTAAATTGCTTTGTAATAATAACACCAAAAATTTGATTAGAAAATTAATTAATAATTTATTAGAATTTCGATGAAATGGTTGTGTATAATTAGTGTAATTTTGTTTGTGTCTTTATGTTCTTTCTCTCTCTTTTTTCTTCTCTCTCCTCTCTCTCTCTCCCTCTCCTTCTCTCTCTCGTTTTTCATGACTGTTATGTTCTTCAATGCAAGTTATCATTTTTTAAGTCTGTATTTCATACGTTTTATTCCAGATTATTCCTGGCAATTCTCTCATTTCCGTAGTAAGGTCCGCAGATAGAGTTGTAGAAAGTGCCTATGTGTATAATGTGCTCTTGAGTGACCAGTACTGGAGTGTTGGTGAATTGAGCACTCGCATGAATGTTTCTGTAATATCGCCTTTGACTAAACAAGTTTTACAGGTAGGATTTTGATTTTTATTTATTAATTTTAATATAGTTAATAAACAACAACAACAAAAAACACAAACTTTAAAATTTGGCTGCTTTTGGGTATAATGATGACACCCGGAAAAATCATTTTCTGGCAACAATCCAGTATTACAAATTTACTGGAAATTTATTAAAATTCTGAAATTAATTTCAGAAATTAGTAATGTTTTTATTATCTTGTAATGGAACATTTGCCTTGTTTCTTCTCTCTCCGAAAAGTCACTTATCTCTCTCTCTTTTGTTCTAAGTGTGTGTGTGTACTTATACAAAGGTTTGCTTGAACAAAGAAAATCAGGAGTGCTGCCAAAGCACATACTTTGCACATAAAGCGCATTACAGCACAAGCAAAGCAAAGCATTACAAAGCACATAAAGCAATGTTTCTAAATGCTCCACAATATTGTATTGATTTGAATATTATATTAAACAATTGATTTGATGTGACATTCATTTTACCAATACAACAAGAGAGTTGTACACGTGTTTCAAATTTCAAAATATGAAAATGATATACAGACACTTTCAATTTATTTTGAATCTTAACAAATTGTATATGTAAGTAGAATTGCTGCAAATGATTTCAACAAAGTTTCTGAAATTCTCAATAGTTTTCTGCATCAACAGAGAGTAGTGACAAATAATTATCTCCGAGCCAGGCTCGAACTAATGGCTCTTCCTTTCAAAATGCTGAGTCTGAACTGAACATTTAACCATTTTGACCACCCGGATTATACAGAGAATTGGCACTTACTGTTACAGAGAATAGTCATGAGCATTGAAAGACAACAATTCATTTGATGGTTCATACCTTTTACAAATCCAATGAGAGATGTGATAAATTGTTTAAAAGTTGGAAGTTCAAAATCATATACAGATACTTTCAGCTTACTTATCGTGATTTGTGATTAGAATTGCTTCAAATTGTTTTCAATGAAGTTTCTGGAATGATCAATTATTTCCTGGAGCTACTCAGTATTGTCACAAATAATAGTTCCTGGCCAAGACAAGTGAACCTGCCCTCTGAAGAGCTCAGGCCTTACCCGCCAATTAGCTATCCAGTTATCTGGCTATCCAGTTATGATGTCTGATGAATACTTCTATAATAGTAATACATGTATGTTGGTTTTGAGCACTGATTAGCATTGATTCTAACAGTTCTAAGCTAGTTCTAGCACAGACACAGACAGACTGACAGACTGCCGCAGACAGACAGACAGTCGCAAACACACAGATGGATGTTTTTTGTCTTAAATTTTTCGGTATCAAGAACCAACAAAACATGGATTCTGGCTACTTGTGAGAGGATTTTTTTTCTAAATTTAGCAACAGTATTTATCCAGTTTTTTGTTACTAGAGCCCAGCTATAAGACTTGTTTCTGACGAAAATTCCCAGTTTTTCGGCGCGTGATTATGTAACTTTCTCTTCTTATAAAGAATTCGTAAGGAAAGAAAAAATATTTAATTAAGACTAAGATCAAGGTGATGATTATGAGTAAGAAAATGAAATGAACCTTTTAACCAGCATGTCAGTAGTGTAACAGACGACACACAGGATATATGGAAGCCCCATTTCTTGTCACGGTCACCTTACACCCAAAATAAAAGTACATATCACTTCCTACTCAGAGAATTAAGAATTGTTTTTTGCGGTTTCAGAGTTCATTTTCCAGATATAACATAACGTATTTGGGCTATTTACACAGTTACGAGGCATTACTTCTGAATTAACACAAAGCACAAACCTTCACGAACCCAGAACAACAAGCAGTCGTATCCAAGCCGCTTTCCACAGTCAGATCTCAGTGCTGGGATGTAACTAGCAAAACACACAACGCGATTCTATCTCTAAGCATGACTTATCAGTAATGTTTTTTCATTTCCTAAAGGCGATTTTCTGAATTCAGTGTCGCATATAGGAATTTCTTGCTCACATTTCTATTGTTCATGAACAATTACATGTGCAGAATTATTAAATGAAGCTACAGCAAAATAACCAATATGCAACGTTTTCAAGCATCTTAATTAGAGTTACATGGAACAAGAAAACTGAGCCCGATAGGCAAAAACTGATTTTATTTTCGATTTCACTGTCCAAGTCTTAGCTAAGAATATTCATATTCTTTGTTACAAAACTGCCGCAGCGTTATAAGCGCGCTGACACAGCCACTAATGAGCAGTCGTCTGTAAATTATCTTTCCCTCGTTATTGAGCTGGGTGAAGGGGCCTGTTGGAACCCGGCCACGAGGGTGTTTGGGCTCGTATCGTGTGGCGTCGTTAACTCCTCGCAGCAGCCGACGCCTGGTGGCGTTGACTCCGGCTGGGAGCAGATTGCAGCGGCACGTTCCTTGCTGTTCCCTCTGGCCAAGTGAGGCCGCCGCGTCGGGCAGTCTCGAGCGCAACCCGGGTGCGTCGTGCGTGCTTCTGTCGGCGGCGGCCGCGCCCGTCATCGGCCGATGACTCTGCCTAATTCGGTCACCCCCGCGGCGGCATTTCTGGGGTCCTTGTTCCGTTCCGCGATGAACCCAAACCAAACTGGTGCTCCAGAATGGCACAGACTTTCTCGTAGTCAAGTTTCCTTGTGGATTGGCTTTACGGTCTTGACCCGTCCTCTTGCCAGCTGCCATCTAACGCCGCCCAAAGTACATTCTTTTGACATTTTCTCAATTTCTCGGTTTTATACTGCTAGGGCCGAAATATTGCTTTAAGAATATTAAAGACGAATAAAACCTTTTCATAAATGCCATTTTCATTGAAAAATTTGGAGCCCTTTTAAGAAAATTGCGTTTAAGCATTACTGTGAATATTGCATTATCCGCCGCAATGCTCTGGGCGGATTGCATCATCTGCCGGCGCCCCGAACTGGCTTAGTGTAAAGTACCCACTAATTTTAATGAATGTTTTTCAAAATACCAAAACTTCGACCCGAGCCAGGTCGACAGGGGTTTCTTCAACTTGGAAAAATTCCTACACATGGTTTAGGCGCTAGTAGTGTTCACGGAACGACGGATGAACGTTTTGGTTACAATTGATTTTTCGGTATCAATGATTCTCAAAACAGGTATTCTGGCGACACCACGTGTCGTCAGAGGATGTTCCCCCTTAATTTAACATCTGGATTTATCCACGTTTTGGTTATCGGTGCCCGGCAATGATTTTTTTCTCCCGAAAATCCGCCGTTTTTCGCGCAGAATTACATAACTTCCCGTGTACTATGTATAGTGTTGCTCCACATATACGTACGTATGCGAGAAAATAAAAAAGTATCTGTTATTCTCGCGAACTTTCTCAACAGTGCTGTTCCTTTGCCCCAGAGAAATATTCGAAGTCGCGGCTACTCCGCTCGGTGTTGCCACTGCCTCGTTGAAGGAAAGGATGTCTGGACGACTGTCTCTTCCCAGGAACTATTGCGATCTGCCCAGAGCAAGGCCTCAAAGGCCACAACTAAAACCTGTAATATGATTGCGGACCGTATTTTCAATACTCGGGCGATCCACACCTGACGTTTTGATGATCTCGGCTCTTTGCCCGTCTGCTCGGAAACGGGGAAGGAGGGTGGGTCACTGGAACCATGCGCGATATCAGGCCGTACCATGGTGTTAATCCCGCCACGGCGCATTCGAACTATTCTCGCCCGACATGGATGAAAGGGACTTTCAAATCCTTTATCTTTCGCGGGCCACTACAAATGGCTCCACGGGCTGCCGGTTGGACAATCCTGGTCTGGAGGCTCTGCTCTCGGAATAAGGATGGTTCGGATTGCCTTTTTTCCCGACTGCCGATTCCTGATTGCCCAAAAATCTGAACCTCCAAGAATGTGTTTTTCTTCTCAAGACATCTGTTTGACTCTCTCGTGAACCATTGCCCTATTGAGAAAACCACTTAAGTCAGCATGGATTTAATACAGTTTAAGATCCAAAACCTTTTTTGCCACATACATTTAATACTAAAATTTGTGGTTTTGCATTCTAGATGCTCAAAGTTTGCTGTTTTAGCTATTCTAGAGGTGAAAAATTGAACAACAGTTCTAAAAACAATTTATTTGCATCCAGTGTAATGTTTGAGGTTTTTGGCTTAGGTAGTTTTCACAATGTCACCAATTGTATATGTAAACAACCAACACACCACCAAAATTTCAACAACTGATTATTAAATTGTAATGTTAAGTGTGAAGTGTGTATATTTCAAGCCATGAAGTTTTGAACATAATTAAAACAAAACAATATGTGTTTCTAATGTAAATATTTATTGTTACACAGGTTCCTCTCAAAGTACATCTGGTTGGAGAGAAAGGACAAATACGATCTCCATGTCTTGTATCACATGTCACAACTTGGAGTGGATTTTTCAGTGATATAGTGTATGCATATAGGCATACACTTTTGATTAGTGCTACACTCCTGTTGATTATAATAGCTACAGCATATGGTAAGTGAATTCACTTATATTAGCCAGAATGTTTGTTCTTGAAAAGAATTGTCTTTTCTGACTTGTAAATTAGTGGCCCTCACTCATCTAAGGAACAAATTTTAATATTTTTAATTTAAAAAAATCTTATGATTGGATGTTTTGCAAATTCTGCTTGTTTCATGAAACATAAAAAGTTACTCCATTTTGCAATTGTTTCAAGGTGAATATTTCAAAACCTTAATTTTGGTTAATTGAAAGTTTAAATAATTTTTCATGAATAGAAAAGAGAGATTTTTATGAGAAAAGTGATGCATTTATTTTTTGAAAAAATGTAAGAACATTTGAAAAATACAAATTTATGATCGTATTTAAAATTGCTCCATACAAGCATTTTCAATTTCGCAGTAGCAGCAGGACAAACTCTCTGCATCTTCTGAAGTCACTAGTCTCCACCAAAAATGCTGACTTTTTTTATAAAATATAAAATACATTTTTTGCAACCACCTAAATAATTGAAAGCAATTGTCACACATTAATCATATTCTAAAAATCCAAAGGAGTATTCTCAATAAGACAGTGTGGACAGCATTTCATGAATCAGTTCAGAATTCTGCACCGTAACAGAAACGTGTATGTTTTATAATAGATTGCAGGAACCATGACAAGACAATGGACTGTAAAAAATGATTGTCAGATCTAAGTTAAGTTGTCCACAGACTCTATGAAATGTGGAGTGAGCACATGATGTTTGCAACTTTTGTTTTGCAAACATCTGCTCATTCTTGACCCGTGAGTTATATTATTTCTGGGAAGCACAGGATATACATTTGACAATTCATGGCATATGTCTGGAGGTCATAGAAGCATAGTATTTCATTGTTTTGTTTAACAGAAGCCAATTCCACAAACATATATTGGCAATCAAAAATGTTCCATTTCAACATAGAGTATAATTGTAAAAAAGATAAAATATGTAAAATACAAATTGTTTTATTTTACTCAAAATGTCTTGCAAACACAAAACATATATAGAATGCTGGTAACTTGTTCCAGTAAAACGTGAATTTACATATGAATCTGTTCCCTAGTCATGAGCATTTAAGTAAAAATTTGATTGAATAAAAAATAAATATTTTCAAAAGGTGAATCTAGTTGCTAGGGATTTATAAATAATGTACGGGATACAGCGACAAGAAAATGGATAAGAAATCCCAACTTCCGCTGTACTTCCGCTTTACTCGTGACCGCCCTTCGCTTCAGGAACAAAAGTCTTGCGGATTGCGTACCCTTGGGGTGCGACAGTATGTGGCGAATTCCCTGCGCTGTTGTGGCGTGCCGCCCTCGGAGCTGACTAGATTCAGCGTTTCCTGAGGCGGCGTGTCACTTGGAGTACTGTGTTTGTTTTAATAACGTGTGAAATTTGTAGGGAAGGGAGGGGGGTGGTTTCTCAAGAATATACCATGATCAAATTGATTCACCAGTTATTACTAAAGAGGGGAGAGTGGCGGGGAGGCGATACGCAGAGTACTCGGGAGTCGAGCTCTGAGACGTCCTCGCATCCCATCGTTCCGTGGGCCGGGTGTTCCGGCAGGGGCGGCAGCAACACCGGCACCGCAGCTCTGGAAACGCGCCATCATCCGGAGGGCTGTTAGTGTATTCACCGACTTCCTCCAACGGCCTCTGCCCCTTCTGGCTCCTCCGGGCCCGTTTATACCGGCGTCTCGCTTGCAGTCGGAAGTGCCTTTGAGAGGTCGCTGCCGAATGTTTGGGTCGTTGCATGCCACTCGCCTTGGAAGTCGCCCTCGCCTCGGTGCGATGTTGTAATGGAGACTCGCCACAGTCATAAATGCCAAAGTCGGTTACGCCGTGAAGTGCTGGCATGTCTGCCGCCCCCTCCCAGTGTGCGTCAAGTGTGACGAAACGTCGCACGAGGAAACATCCTGGCCCTCACCATCGCCTTGCTTTAACTGCAAGGGAGATCGTGCTGGAAATTCGAACCGGTACCTAGTCTTCATCAAGGAGAGGGAAATCCAGTGAATGCGACAAGGTTTCATTTCCGGAAGAAAGAAGGAGATGCTAGGTAAAATGCCCCCTGAATATGACGAGAATGCTTTTGACAGTGCTAAAACTGGCTTAGAAGGCAGAGAACATCCGAACGGTAGCCTTGTGATCCTTCACCAAGTGTCGCCGACGTCCGTGCCATTACCACAATTGTTATAAGTAGAAGAAAGATGAACAAAATGACTCACCAAAAACTTCGACCGAGTCTGCTCCAGAAGCTTCTCTGTGCTGGCGACTCTTCCTCCCAGGGCCACCTGCCAAACACCACAACAATGGGCCAACCTCTCTAGCAGTGATAGCAGTGGCACGATTCCGCTGCGGAGGAGACTCCTGCTGGTGCCGACCTCCCTGGCCTTTTGCGCCAACAGCGGAGACGAACATTGAAAAAGAAGTCATACGCGCTAAAAACTCTGAATGGCTCTCAGATCGTAGGATAAAAACAGTTTTCTCGGACATTTGGAAGACCTATTAATTTGAGCTATCTTTTATTTAATATGGTTTGTAGGAAACTCGACTTTTCGATGCTGATTGTAGTTCCCGTGCCCTCGATGGTGTTGCCGAACCGTAATCATCTCTTGCCAGGAAATCACAGTCCAGACCAGTCTCAAAGGTCGTGTGGTGTAGGTCGACATTCCATCTCTCTCCTCAGCTTAAAATATGTCCCTCCCGCCCGGTCAAGCAGTATCGGAGGAAGATTTAAAATGTAATTTCTCAACTTCCACAACCACTCCTCATTGTCGGAGACTTCAACATTCACAATCTTCTATGGGACTTCTCTCGAACTTCTGAGGGGAACTTTTGCAGAAGCAGCCCTTGAGAACTCGTTCCTAGTGAATCTCATTCTGATCAATTCAGGTCTCCACATATGGGTTCGTAGGCTTCCGCGGCCGGAGTCAATGCATTCTTGGATATCTGGGATGAGCCGCGTCTCGGTCAATGTTACTGACGTTTCGGCCATCTTGCTGTGACCTTCTTCAGAGCTATACTGCTGGTTTCTCTCTCCACCCCGTTTTTCAAATGCCTCTGGGATCTCGTGTACAGAATTTCAGTAAAACCTGATCTCACGACCATCTGAAATAAGCCGGCACCTCTCTTTCTAATATTCCCTTATGAATCGTTTAGCCCATCAGTATCATCTTTCATGACAATCTCCAATTCATTTGAAGTACTTTACCCTCATGGATGTATAAATAGAAATGCATGAAAGATATAATTAATCGTGTAATATTTATAAAGTGAGTTGTTATTTTTAAATAACTACAGTTATTTGTGGTTTATAAGTTTGTAGTGTAAATTTAATAGTAGAACCATAGTTTACAGATTCTTCAATATACAACACCTAAGAATGTTGCACGAATGATTCTTCTGATACAGAAGTCTGGGGTTTACTCTCTCGAAATCGATTCACTACTTACGCTGGACATTACATCGCTACCACAACTGTTGTCATTTCGAAATCTACTGGCGGACTGAGACGTAACCCAGTACCATAGTGGAACTCAGATGAAACGAATGCGATCAAGGCCTGTAAGAAGGCACTGGCACGGCTGAACAATTACCTAACCGTTGAAAGTCTTCTTCGGTCCCTAGCTGGTGGAGGGGGTTGGCCCCGTAACCAATACGCTGCTATGGGTCCCGCCGGACTCTGGACGTTGTGAAGAACTTGCTGCCAATCCTGGCGGTTGGTGGCAAGGTCCCTTGCGTCGCTGATGTTGAAACGGCGGCTCTTCACTTCCAACCGTTGAAAGTACTTCGTCGAATATCAAAGGTCACAAGCCAGGCGAGAAAAATCATGTGCACAAGCAAATCCTCTTCCTAGACAGTCTACACGTTTTTGCTTACGTGTTACACCCCTCCGAAACCCGTGTGAATTAAAATACAGAAGATTAAAAGAACCATTCCCTCATCTACTGTGCTTGGGCTTTTAGCGAATGCGCAACTGTAAACTTCACCAGGCAGAACCTCCGTTGCAGCTTGCCTCCCACTATCAGGGATCAGTCTCATCTGGCTACAGTCGATCGTTCGACGAATAGAGGAAGGGAGAACTGCCTTCTTGATTTTTTGGGGGAGGGGAAGAAAACTACAACGCTGCTTCTTCTAGGAATGAGTTTTGTTCCACCATAGCTCTCACAAAAAGATTATCCTGGACCAGACAAGATTCATAGTATGACGTTGAAACATGTCTGAACAAAGCAGACAATTCCGCCTTTTATTTTTTAATCAGATTTGGTATACGAGTATACCGTAAGGTATAAGGCGGCAAGCAACCATCATCCTGATTCCTAAGGGAAGGGCCGATAACTACAGTCAAATTACCGCTCAATCTTCTTGACAAGCCGTGTCGGTAAAACTTTGAACGTATGATAAACAATTTCGTCTGGTCCCTACAGTCGAGGAGCTTGTTAACTTCAATCTAGTGGGGATCCAGAAACCAGCGACTAACACTAAACTTATTTATCACCTTAGCAACATCTCCTCTTTAGCATAGAGACATTTAGGAGATATTATCTTCGACATAGAAAAAGTTTGGCACTATCTGGGGACATTGTATTCTGATTACATTGTACTCTTTGGGTTTAAGGGGGGCAGCTACCCCTGCTCCACAGAAACATTTTGTCCAATTGATCTAAGTACGCTTCGGCAACAATGTATGCAGCAGTCATCCCCTTATAGTGTTCCTCAGGGGTAGTCCTAAGTGTCAGTATTATCCATTAACTTCATTGCATCTGTTGTATGTGAATCGCTTAAAGACGTACCATCTATCCCCTCATCAGCTTTGTAGGCATTTCTGAAACACTACTTACTCTGCCCCATTTACTCTAACAGTACCTCTTTTAAAGTAAATGAGGTTAAAGATGTTGTAAATTCCTGGTGTTCTTCACTCCTTGAAGCTTGGCATGAGAAAGTAATATTATCTCGTCTTCGCATCCGTCATTGCCATTCTCATCATTCTTCTTTATTTTTGCCATCGCCGTGACTTCCCTTAAAATTCTTTTGGATTTTCAAAAGAAGACTTGACACGTGATGTTTAGAAGTTAAGGAATCCATTATTTTACATGATCTAATTCCTTGAGTTATCTAAGCTTGAGAAAATTAAATGTAATTTTTAAAATCAATTGTTAATTTTTTATTTTTTTTTCAGAGGAAATTTCGTGTTAATGTGAAATGAAGGTTTTGAAAAATATAAATTACACTTGTCGTTTGTATTAACTATTGAAAACTGTCGGCTATGATTATTGCTGCATATAGTTCATAAATAATTTTATTTTACTTTTCCTTTAGTAAGCAATCTACACACACATGCATTATTTAATTATCCCTACTAAATGTAACGTAGTATTTGGGAATGTAAACGAATATTAATAATTACATAATGTAATGATAGCGACATGAATAGAAAATTTTTGATAAAAAATTGATAGTAAGGGTTTTTTAAGAATTAATTAGCCTCTCTATCCTACTTTTGATTCGAAGAAATACTGCAGTATTGTTAAGGTAGTCATTAAAATTTGTGAAATACATGATTAAAATGGTTGATCCCTGTACTAACATATTGCATGCAAGTGAAGCACTTCTGAAATTTTAGCAGACGGCCCACAGAGTTATGGTAGCAAAAATATTTTTGGAAATTCTGATATTTTTATGTTACGTTGCACCATTTCTAGTGATTCTCATACATGCATTCATCATTCTAATTTATTGAGAGTAAAAGAAAAAGTTCAAAATATTTCTTCTTACTGATTATATGCAATGTCTTTTTTGTAGGTATTTCATCATTTACGCCGGCTAGAAGGGAGAACAATTATGGTAAGAAATCATTCATTTATTATTGATGTAAATCTCTATTTTTAAAACACTTAAGATTTTTTACTTTCTCGCTTCAGCTTACGCAGTAGACATAAAGTAATGTAATGCTGCTCGAAAAAACGGGGAATTTTCGGCAGAAAACTCTTCTAACAGTGTCCTGGTAATGAAAAAGTAGATACACCCAGTTGCTAATTTTTGGAGGGGAATCCTTTAACTCGTGGTGTAGCCAGAATCCATGTTTTGTGGGTCCTTGATACAGAAAAATTGATTGACGGCAAAATGTCTGTCCTGCCGGCTGGCCGTTTGTAAACAACGCTAATAGTTAAACCTTTCAGCCAATTTTCTCCAAAATTAATATTCTCCAGTCCATGTGGCTGAAGTCGCGGCCCCTTCAATTCGAACCCGAAATTTTAATTTTGGGGATTTTCTTATGAAGCCCCTTGAACATTAAAAAAAAAATTACTCCAACGTTTTTATTAAACTTTGTTATTGGATAGTGTGAAGAACGTTTAAGAGAATGGTGCAAGTTTCATGTCCGTTAAAAATCCTGAGTTTTCGAAATTTGCAAAATGTCAATTTTTGTCGGCGTCTTTCTACAGCTAAAATATTGAAGATATTTTTTTCTCATAATGAAAACTGTTCTTTAAAGGTAGATTTTGAAATAAGGTCATATACAATTTTTCGAAAATTTGAGTTTTACAAAAAATGACTGAAATGCGTTAATACGGAGAGAAATTACCGTATAAGTTACAGTTACGTAAGCACAAAGGGCGAGAAAGTATGTGCTGTTTTAGCTCCAAAATGCGAATGGACGCCATTTTGATACGTCCACCGCCGATGAGCCGCAACCGGCTATGCACCAGCGGCGAACACTGCCTTATCACAAAAATTATGATCTTGGAAGGTGGGAGATTTTTTATCTGCCTTAACGAACATACACCCTAACGTAATGTTTGAGAACGGAAATGTAGGAGAAGCAATTATATTTTCCTTTCGTGAAATTAAAACCAATAGTGTTTAACTATACGAATAAAATGCCCCAATAGGGGCCGTGTATTTAAAAAAAGTATCGCCCTTTCCGATTTTTCTACCGCCCCTCCCTACTCGCCAATAATAAGCTGCGTTTATATTAGGCGGTATGTACCGATCACCGTGTTGGTGTGCAATGAACTGCGTAAGTACTATAACATAACCTCTTTGATTTTAAAATACTTTCGGTTATTTTCAACATTTGGAGCATTTTGAAACTCCGTTGGACGTAATTTCATTCGTGGAATAGTCTTATTAAATTCCACTCGTGCTTTAGAAATTGTCAGATAAATCCCCTCTTCGCTTCGCGAGTCGGGAATTTATTGACAATTTTCAAAGCACTCGTATTACCTGTGATAATTTGCCACGAATTAATACTATGTAAAACTAGTGGTGCTAAATCAGCTCATACTTTTTCTTCCTTAGTAACGGTTACGTATTATTATACTGGAATTTCTGTCCAGATCAACACATATCAGTCAGTGAACACTGGTAACAATGGGCACATATTTTCTTATCAATAAAGCATCATTCTTGTCATATTTGTTTTTAAATTTTGTATATATTAATTTGTAATCTGTTACATCCGAACAATAAGCAAATCTTTTGACAGTTTTACAATGGCATGCAAAGGAACCGGGCATCCACAGTCCTTCATGGATTCATTCTCTGTGGCGAACAAACAAATAGTACACACATAAATATATAGCATCACAAGACAAATATAATTTTTGGTTATGATCATATATCTTGCATCTAATGATCGAGCTCATTTTATTTAAGAGATCCAGTAGATTTACGATTCTTATAATAGTTTTTTAACATTTCATTTTTTTATATAACTAACAGTTATGAGGGAAATTTATCTGCGTGCTACTCAAAGAGTAATGTGTTACAACACCTGTAACTAAGTGCGGGAAATTGGAATTTATGATTTCTATTTTTTGCCATTTTTCGAAAATACTGACAGTGCGCCAAAAATGGATCCAGCACCACCTTTTTTTACCGTTCTTTGCGACGTACAGTCAACTCTTGTTGTAGTGAACTTGGATATAGTGAGCTGAAGTCACTGGTCCCGTTTCACTTACATTACAAATAAAATGAAACGCTTATATAAGAAGATTCGGTTATAGTGCATGCGAACGTCGGTTATAGGAAATACGACCTGGAAATTAATTCCCTCCTGGAAAAGAGAAGATCACCTCAGTGCCACAAATACCAACCCTAGGCAGTTGGAAAAAAATATTGACCAAAAGTCATAATCGAATAAGTCTCCCCTGAGGCGAACGTAGCGAACCCAGAATGGGGACCTTACGGATTATCTCATGCCAGTCGGTTTCAAGCTTGATGCTACGTGTTATTCCACGGGTCAAAGCGCGTTTTATTCTACGTGGGCGACAGGAAGCGCGCGGTTGCCACAGCCACCACAGCCACCTGAATTCCGCTCTGCCGCGCTGAAAAGCTATCAGTTTCATTAGCCGTTTGCGCCTTGCCGCTGCCGAAATTATCTCGTATGTTATTAGGCGAGTAAAGGGGCCTTCGGAGAGTGGGGCTTCCAACAGTGTACGAGACATTGAAGGGTGCCAAGACTGTATTACGATACTTCGAGACAGTGGACAATGCAGGATCAAATATGGCGAGAGCACGAACTCTAGAGAAAGATCTAGAGAAATTAATAATGAAAAATGTACGAAACAAGCAATTGAAAATTATTAATTTTTTTGAAGTACAAATAAATATACTGTAATTTTCAGTTTGCTGTTAATGTATTTTGTTTGTATTCGTATATTAATGAAATCAATCATTGTGGAGAAAGTCTATTTAATTTTGACATCCTCGGATGTAGTGAACCAAAAATGTTAGTCCCTAGAAGTTCACAATAACTGGAGTCGACTGTATTGTTTAAAATTTAAAAATTACATACTTTTCACCAAAATTATGCAAAAAACACTCATATTTTTGAAACATTGAAGATGAGCACATTTCACACAGAAAAAAATTATATTCATGATTGTAGAAAACGCCGAAAAAATTTGAATTTTCGAAAACTTAGGATTTCAACAAAATATGAGGCCTGTACAATTTTCTTAAGCATTCTTTACGCTAAGGTCAAAATTTAATCAAATTTGGTGTCTTTTTTGTAAAAAAAATATTAAAAGTTGTTTATATTTCACGCAAAATTACACGAAAACTACTCAAATTTTCGAAATATTGTACATGATCTTATTACAAAAGTTGTCTTTAAAGAACAGATTTTATTAACGAAAAAATCTCTTAAGCCGGAAATTTTTTGCAATTTTCGAAAAATCAGGAATTTTATCCAAAATCAGATCTATACCATTCTCTTAAGTGTCAATTACGCTATCCAACAACAATATGTAATAAAAAAACTATGGTGGCTTTTTTGTTTGTTTTGAAAATATCTCATGGGCCTCGTGTAAAGTTTGCTCCAAAATTAAAATATGGATTCCAATTTGAAGGGGCCGTGACATCAGCCAGATCTATTGGGGAATATTAAAAAAAATCAGGTAACCTTTTAGACGCTAGCGTTGTTCACAGACAGGCGGACACGAGTTTTGTCGTCCATCGATTTTTCAGTATCGAGGACCCACAAAACAAGAATTCTGGCTTCACAACGTATTTGTGGAAGTAATTTACTGTGAACAAGGACAAGGGTTATCCAATATTCGTTATCAGGGTCCGGCAATTAGAGTTTTTTTTGTCAAAAAGTAACCCCCCCCCCCGCAACAATACATTACTTTCTCTATACTGCGTAAGCAGTAGCGAGAAAGTAAAATGATACATAAAGTCGAAAGTAGCAATGCGCTATTATTAAAATATTCATGTAACCCGGGTTGTTTTTAAATGCACACATTCCAATTATTTTCTTTTAACACCGAATGTTTTTTTAACCATTTTTACAGTCTGCAATGCAATTAGTACCTTTGGACATATCAGCTTTCACGCTTTCCGGGTTTTCTTACGTCTCCGCCGTCGCCTCCGTTGGAGAGAGAGGGAGAGGGGAGAGAGAGGGATGGAGGGGGGAGGGAGAGAGACGGATAGAGAGGAGGGAGAAAGAGAGAGAAAGGGGAGGGCGGGAGCGGGAACGGAGCGAATCTCTTTCCCGCTTTTGCAACCGCTCTACTGCGGGCCGGCACTTCTGCTGGAGGTCGTCGTCCAGGTCCATCTCCCACGTTGCTTCAGCTGGTTCCCAATCGCGCGTACCGCGCCGCGTTTGGTCTCGATCTTCATTGCCCATTTTTCACTCGCGAGTATTCTGCCCGCCCAGATGACTCCAATTAAGCAATAATGCCTCCGAACCTGCTCGTACGCATAATTGTTTCACACTGCACCATAGATTTATGGCTTACTTTATGTAGTTCATGCGCACCTACGACAGGCATTGTACATGAGCCGGGGTTAGGGGTACCTTTTGATAGAAATACTAAAAACTCAAATTTGTAGTTCGCTGCGAGGAAATAAGTTTTCTATTACTCTGGAGCAAAAATGTCGATTATTTTGTTACCCTCGCTTTGTTGGTATTTTTATTTATCATTTCACTATTTATGAATGGTGATGAACATTTTCCAGAGCTCAAGAAAATCTCGCCTAGATTTGTACTTCTCCATACGAACCATACAGTTTACTGTTTCATTGACAAAGTAAATCAACGTCCGACCTTCCCCAAGTAGTCGTGTATGGGTTGGAAAATATTTCGATCCATTCGTTTTTGGCCATTGTCGAATACTAAATGCCAGAAACATTGATATCTCTTTATTTTTCTCAGTTTTTGTAATACATAAGATGAATGTAACATTTTAATATTGGCACACCTTCATCAGTAATTCTAACTTCTGAATTGTGTATTCCATTTTTCTAAAAAAATCCATCCATTTCTCTGGTACTGTTAATTCTCATTTCCAATTTTCCTCTGAACATTTTGAAGAAAATAAATTTTCATGTCTACTTAA